TTATGCAATTAGGCCTCTTTTTATGCGGATTTGAATTTATGCGGTTTTTCAAACCCTTTTTCGCTGTAGCGATTTTGCATTTTTGAGAGCTTTTATTACTTTTTTTTTCAATGTGTTAGGGGCAATGCTTCTGATAAATGATTTGTCTTTGTATTCTTACATTCAAGTAATTACTAAGTAATTCGGCTAAGTAACTATGTTACATATGTATAAATGAGAATATAATATTTATAAAAATCATTATTTTGTCTTTCATTTCATAAATGAGTAGGACATTAGCATTTTCAAATGAATATTCCTGGTTAGTCCCCATACATATGTATGTATGTAGTATAATAAAAGTACTATTTGGGGCGTTAAACAATATTTGATAATGAAGGCTGGTCCACATAGAATTTTCGCGTTGGTTTGACAGAACGCACGTTAAAAGTATGCGTTCTACAATGAAGCTTGGCAGAGACTACTTTGGCCATTAAATAAATTAACATAACCAGAGATAAATTAATATTTTATATCAATAATTGCATGAAAAATTATATTTATTGCCCTCATTTGATTAAAAGGAAAAAAAACATTTCATATAATTTTATTTATTTGCAACAGCTGGCGACCGACGCAGCGATCTTTCTGCTTTGTGTGTGTGTTTGTCTGCTCTTAGCGTTGCCTAATTTTGGCTATGTGGACGGCTGCTTTGAAATTCAACGCCAACGCAACGCCAAAGTTGTATGTGAACCAGCCTCTATTCTTTGTTTACGCAAATTTTCCCATGTCATATGTCCTTCAACAACAGGCCACAAATAAATTTTTCACCAAGGATTATATTTCATTCAACAGGTATACAGCATAACTGCTACAAGTAGCAAACTATTTGGGCTTACTTGCTTTTTTTTTCTGCGGCACAAACGATTATAATATCTTCGTTACTTACTTTTCTCTGTAAAGACAAAATACATGCATATGTACATACATACATATATAACTATGCATGTTATGTATATACATATCTAACTATAAAAAATATTACATTCCATAATCTATGCTTATGTATGTAACAAATTTTATTTGTTGTTTTAAATGCTGCCCTAATATAATATTCACATGTTTATATGCATATGCACATATGTACATACAATCATTAAGATACTTTCGTACATAATCTCTTGACATACATTCCTATATTTCTATGCACAAAAATGCATGTGTTTTATAGTACACTCGGAGCGCTCCCTCGTCGCTCACTCGTCTTACCTAGCAGAGCTAGTAAGCAGACAGCTACTCGCCTCGCACCGCGAGCGAGGCAACACACAACAGCCTCGCTCGTTTAATAGGAGCGCGAGCAAACACGAAGCGCACGCTCGTTTGCCGAGCAAGCCAAACTTCTCGTGCCTCGCCTCATTGCTGCTACGAGTACGAGCTGCGAGCGCCTCGTTTCCTGCGAGGCATTGAGTGGGAGTTTGCTCGCTTGCTCGCTCGAACTCCGAGTTTTTGCCTACCTTGGTCGCAACCTCTTTTCGAATATTGCGAGGATGAAGAGCCCGTATTTGAGCAGACGCAGCAGACAGGGCTAACTACAGTGGTTCACCAATCACCGTCAACCCGAAAAAGAGCCAATTGTGACCACTTCTAGAGCATTGAATCGGAAAGAAGATGAGGAGCGACTGGACACTCTATGTGGAGCCGTAAGCGACTGGCTAAAAAAATCAGAAGCTGCTCCACAACCAGTTAGCCGTAATTCCGATTTTTTAAATGTTCTGGACAGCTATCTTCTGAAATATGAAGAAGATGTTTAAGATAGAATGAAAATTGAAATACTGAATTTCGTTTTTAATGGCGGGCAATTTGTTGTCCTGTAAAAACCTTATTTCACTTTTATTTCAATAAATTTATTTAATCATTTTAATTGAATTTGTTTTTAATGGAATACAATTTGTTGTCTTTATTTAATTTTTTATTTCAATTATTTTTTTACATAAACTTAATAGAAAGTACAAAATGAATGTTATGAAATGAACTGATTTATAAATTCAAAATAATTTAGTGTTATACGTTTTGTATATACAGTGGTGGCAGAAATAATAGAAACTTTTTATTTTGACCAGTTTTGGCTATATTACTTTTGTTTATTTAATATTTAATATTTTTTATAAAAGCCTAGCGCATTATATAACACACACCATGTAAATCCACATTTCAAACCTTGTACAAAAATTATAAAAATTCAACAAATTTTACCAAAATTCTGAATAAAAAGTTTGAAATTTTTGGAGGATTTCGGTAAAATTTGTTAAATTTTTATAATTTTTGTACAACGTGTGAAATGTGGATTTATATGGTGTGTTATATAATGCGCTAGGCTTTTATAAAAAAATATTAAACTTTAAATAAACAAAAGTAATATAGTCAAAACTGGTCAAAATAAAAAGTTTCTATTATTTCTTCCACCACTGTATATATATATATATCTACAGTTGGATCTGAATACTCTTGCGAATTGGTGTTCGCTTAATTGTTTATATCTGAATTTAAATAAATGCAGTGTGGTTACTTTTTCGAGAACGAGGAATAATATCATCAATAATTATAAATTGGACGACTGCAACATTGCACGCAACTCCGAAATGAAAGATTTGGGCACTTTTTTCGACTCTAAACTAACATTTTTGAAGCACGTCGATTATATTGTGTCTAAATCCTTTTCGTTGATCGGTTTTATAAGAAGAAACACTCAAGAGTTCAGGGATCCATTTACTCTGAAGTCACTTTATATATCTTTAGTTAGGAGCCGCCTTGAGTACTGTTCAATAATTTGGAATCCTTATTATGAAGTTCACTCAAACAAAATAGAAAGAGTTCAGAAAGTTTTTTCAAAAATGGCTATGCGTAAGATGCCGTGGCATGGTTATGCTCCACCCTATATAAGCAGACGTAAACTGCTTGGGTTGCAGTCCCTGCAGGACAGAAGGGACTACTTCTCAATTATGTTCGTATACAATGTTCTGATATATTAATTGTGCCGAACTTGCCAATTTAATAAATTTATATGATCCTCCACGTAATCTGAGGCAGAATAGAATATTGGTAGGTACAATGCATTCCACCAATTACGCTACTAATAAACCGATTGCTAGGTGTATAAGGTTGTGTAACACTTACTCCAGCGTAATCAACTTTAATTTAAGTATTGATAGATTTAAAATGTATCTCTTCATAATCTTTAATTAAGAGATAATTGTTTAATAGTCTGTAAGATCCTACTTCTGTAGACTGAATTAATAAATAAATAAATATGTTTGTTCATGTATACATTTATTAAAATAAGTCCGCGTTCCCTTATCATTTTGTAAATATTCGCAAAGCTTTTTGTGTTAAATACTTTTTATTTTTAAATGGTTTATATTACAAAAAAAACATAAATCCAAGTTTCAAACTTTATATTATACTCAGAAAAGTTAAGAAATTTTCATTAAAATTTCAAACTTTATTCAAATTTCTACAAAAAAAAAATGGTACACAGTCCTATAGTCCATTATTTTTTAGTATAATATAGTGCAAGTGTGAAACCATGAAGATATATATGTATCAAGGAAAAGTGTAGCACACTCAGCTAAAAAGATATTAAAAATCAACGGGATTTTTAGAAACTTCACACTTGTAATTTATTATATTAAAAATAATAGACTATAGGAGTGTGTACCAATTTTAATAAATAAAGTTTGAAATTTTAATGAACATTTTTTAACTTTTCTGAGTATAATATAAAGTTTGAAACTTGGATTTATGTGTTTTTTATAATATAAACCATTTTTAAATAAAAAATATTTATCCCGAAAGGTTTTGTGAATATTTAAAAAAGAACTTATTCTACCAGGAGTCTGTACATGATCTCTTGTAACGCAATGAAATGTAATGTTAGAAACTAAATAAGAAAATTTAATTTAAATAAATAGATATTGTACGTTTTGTAAATGTATGCAAATTTATACAAGTGCATACATTGCTGCGCAAAATTATTGACACAGAATTTTTCACAATGTATGCAAAATTGTTTACTCTTTATTTTTTAAAACTTTTTATAAAACTACTGTTCAGACTACACCAAAAAACCAAAAAAATAAAATCTCCAAACTTTGTACAAAGCTCAGGAAAATTTAATAAATTTGCATACATATTTGCAAATTTTAATCAGATTTTTTGCAAAAATTCTAAGTATGCAGTTTTATAGCTCATTCAATTTTATTTGCTAAGAAATTGCGTAGGTTTTTGCACTTTGTTATACCAAAATTGAATTGGCTATAAAACTGCATACTTAAAATTTTTTCAAAAAATCTGATTAAAAGTTGCAAATATGTATGCAAATTTATTAAATTTTCATGAGCTTTGTACAAAGTTTAGAGATTTTATTTTTTTGTTTTTTGTTGTAGTGTGAACAGTAGTTTTATAAAATATTTAAAAAAATAAAGAGTAAACAATTTTACATATATTGTGAAAAATTCTGTGTCAATAATTTTGAGCGGCGCTGTATATGTACATGAGCTTTTGTAATACAATGAAAGGTTATGTTATGAACTGAATAAGAAAGCACAAAACCAAATGTGAAGTTATGAACTGAATTAAAAAATAAAATTACTATACAAAATAAATTGTTATAAGTTTTGTTTAAATTCTTAAATGTACAGTGGCTGTACAGTCTACAGTGAGTGATGTCAATATGTGGTGCGGCTATAATTTTTATTTTCATATTATTTCACATTATTTATTATTATTATTTCATATTCTTTTCATATCAAAATTACAATATGCATATACAGTGTAGGTCATATCATTTTGGACCAAATTCTAAATGATATTGTTTGTTTGTGTTTACTACAGAAGCCATTTAAATAAAAATTGAAATCTTTGTACAAAATGTATAATTAAAAAAAATTAACAAGAAAATAGTCAAAATTTTGAAACTTGTTAATCAGAACTTTAAAAAATATTTATGCAATTTTGTTGCCTATTACATTCTAGTATAATAAAGTGCAAGTTTCAATTAGCTAAAGATTACCGTTGATTTTTTAGTTTTTTCATTTCGTTCATGGAGGAAATGCGCAACACTCGATAGTCTTTAGCCACTTCAAATTTGCACATTATTGTACTCAAATTGTATGGGCTATGAAACTGCATACCAGACATTTTTTATTAAAAAATTTAAACTTTTAATGAAAATTCGGTGAACTTTCGGTGATTTTGTATACTGTTTGAATCTTTGATTTGTATTGTTTTTGTCCTTGCATGCCATCATGTTTTGCGTCTCCGCTTGGCAAAATCATCTTGGCCCTCTTGAGGCTAAAAATATCATTATATGTTAACTATTTTCGCACATTAGATAAAAAATATAAATCACCTTTTTCTTTATTGTGCCATCCTTTGAATTGGATGGGATACAAGGTAACTCTTCAGATCAGCTGTTAACTTAAACGCATTTTGTAAAGCATTGTTCGAACCTATACGCCTAGCTCTTTGCAAGGGGATCGAAATATCACTCCGCCACAATCCTCTTCTGATAGAGTCGCCGTCCTCCTGGTCAACATATTCCGGCGGGGAATAGCTACCATCGTGCATCTTGAGAAAATTGTGTATTAGAACAGCAGCCTTTACAATTTTCTCGGCTGATGAAGGGCTCATTTGTAAGGGATTTAAAAGGATTCTCCATCGACAAGCCAAAATCCCAAATGCATTTTCTATAACACAGCGTGCTCGAGATAAACGTTTGTTAAAAATTTGCCTCTCCAGAGATAAGTTGGTTCCTAAAATGAGTAAATGCGTTTAATTAGAAAATACTAATTTTTAAATTGTTCATACAAACCTCTTTAAAAATGGCTTTAACGGGAACGCATTATCTCCAACAAAATAATGGGGAAAAGTCATAGTCTGGTAGCACACCGTTTTCAGGAAGATCCAGTTTTCCACTACAGAGCTGTGTCCCAAAGCCAGAATTCCATAAAATGCCACCATCACTTTGCGAGGCGTAAGCTCCAATATCAATGCAAGTGAAAGTATAATTTGCATCACACACCGCCAGCAGAAATGGAATGGATTATAAAAAGCGGAACCAGAGTTTGATGGGCAAAATATGTTTATGTGCTTGCCATCAATTGCACCAATACAATTGGGTAAATTCCACATGGAATTAAAATCGATTGCGATACGCTTCCATACGCTCATCCTTCTTAGGAATCGACAAATAAATTGGCCCAAGTACCTCCCAAAAAGCATCGCACGTTTCTGCCAATATTTCCCTCATTGTGGAAAGTCCATTTTAAAGGAAGAAGCATAAAACTGTTTACTTCCTCCGTGAGCCAAATAACTATAATTTACAATATTTTAATATACATACTCATGATATATGAATAACTTACCAGAGGGTCAAGTAAAGTCGACATTCTGGAGAAATGGATGGCCTATTAGAATTGTTTCTAGTAATCTTTCCTTAATAAAATTATTAATAAATATTATTTTTCTTAAATTCCTCCCTAAATCCATAATTCGTGGCGAAAAATCCGTGAGTGTCCCGATTCTGTAGAGGAGGTCGCACCCACCATCTACGGCCTTCATAAAGCCTGTTGAAGCATTCTCTGGCTTCCAGCAACATGAGCAATATTAAAATAACTTCAATTATTTCCATTTTTTTTTATCTTCTTCACAAATATTAGTACAACTAAAAATATAGATTTATTTTGCATTCAAAGAAAAATTTGCCGCCAGTACAAAACCGCTGACTTGTTTAAATGCGACAACGCTTTCATTGTGGCGTACCTATGCGTTTCCTACGCTTTTTCAGTTGAACGCTGGAGCCGGGACGTACGTAACGTACTCTCTCTGGCAGGACTATAAGGTTGCAAACAGAGTGGAAGCGAAGCCGAAGACGAAGATGAAGACGAAGCCGAAGACGAAAAACAGTGCGGTAGTAAACATATGAAAGTGATCACAGTGCAAGCAAAGACGGAGACGAAGATGAAGATGTTGCGCAAGCGGTCAGCTTGAAACAGTGCGGTACTGTTTACAAAGACAAATCGCTTGCTGTGATGAGTTGTTTACAATTTATTTAACTGTTTGCAATTGTGAAAAAACGCGTTTTTTAAGAAATTGGATAAATTTTTGGTAAAATGTAATCACACGTATTAATTGGCATTCTTGTATATTCGAAAAATTTCTGTCCGTCTTGCCGTAACACATAATACAAGTGGCGAAATTCTCCAAAAGTTGTCCTATGCAAATTATTTCATGAATTGCTGTTTTTTCTTTATTTTCTTTTAATTTTATCTAACAAAAAGGGTTTTATTTAGAAACAAATCTTCATATCATTCATCTTCCACTATGTACACTCGCCAGCTTGCCCGCAACGCAAGCAATTCGTCTTCGGCTTCGTCTTCATCTTCGTCTTCGGCTTCGCTTCCACTCTGTTTGCAACCTAAGGCTCATACAGCTCATCGTTCCATTGTTTGAGGTATTCGCCGTCGCCAACGCACACAGGCCGGTAAATCTTCGTCCTGTCCTCGTTTACGCCAGCAATTGTACCCTCTTTTAGTAAATTATCTTATCCAACATCAGATTAAAGAAATCACAAGAATGGGAGTCATCTTTTCTGAAACCTCGTTTGGTACCAAACGGCTCGGAGAGGTCTTTCTCAGTTCAGACGGAGCTGTTGGAATTGCTGACCGTCCGTTCACACCGACGTATCAGTTTCGCAAATAAATACGTAATTCAGACATCGTGGCGTATATTCAACATCCTTTCGTGCCGCCGAAAGAGGCTTTGATGTCAACAAATAGATGGTGAGCGTTGACCCTTTTCTCGTTTATATTCTTAAAAATTTGGTGTATGGTAAATACCAGAGCTGGGCGATAAGGATTACGATTACTAAACGATTAGGATTGCAGTAATCCCAACAAGCTAAAAACACAAGATTACGATTACAGTAATCCTTTATCGAACGAACTTAGAATACGATTACAGTAATCGTAATTTAAAAAAAGTTAAAATAACGATTACTGTAATCGTAATCCAAGTTCGTTCAATGAACGATTACTTTAATTGTAATCCTGTATTATTTTATTTGCGGGTTATACAAAGTTTATTTAACTACTTTACTTATTAACTACTTTACTTATTATGTTTTTTTTTATTTTAATATTAGTTTCATTTATTTGTCTGTTTTTTTTTAAGATAAATACATATTATCCTCATATTATCGTTAAGCGCGCATTTATATTTCGCAAATTTATAGAATAACTTCATTTAAGATTACTCAAAAATTGTAATTAGAAAAATTTTAAATTTAAAATTATTGCATTCGTTCATCGAACGAACTTAGATTACGATTACAGTAATTGTAATTTTAAAAAAGTTGAAATTACGATTCTTCTTCTTCTACTTTATTGGCGCTGTAACCGCCTAAGCGATTTTGGCCGAGTCCAAAACAGCACGCCAGTCATTTCTCTTCTGTGCTAACTGACGCCAATTGAAAATGCCAAGCGAAGCCAAGTCCTTCTCCACCTGGTCTTTCCAACGCAGAGGAGGCCTCCCTCTTCCTCTGTTACCAGCATCGCGACCCGCGTTGAATATTTTCAGAGCAGGAGCGTTTTTGTCCATTCGAACGACATGGCCAAGCCAGCGGAGCCGCTGAATTTTAATTCGCTGCACTATGTCTATATCGTTGTAAAGCTCATACAGCTCATCGTTAAATCGTCTGCGATATTCGCCATCACCAACGCGTAAAGGTCCGTAAATCTTTCGCAGAATCTTTCTATCGAAAACTCCAAGAGGCGCCTCATCAGATGCTTTCATTGTCCATGCCTCCGCGCCATACACCAGCACAGGCATGATGAGTGACTTATAGAGTGTGATCTTTGTACGACGAGAGAGGACTTTACTTCTTAATTGCCTACTCAGCCCAAAGTAGCACTTGTTGGCAAGAGTGATTCGCCGTTGGGTTTCAAGGCTGACATTATTATTGGAGTTAATGCTGGTTCCCAAATAAACGAAGTCGTCTACTTTTCCAAACTTGTAACTGTCAACAGTGACGTGGGTGCCAAGACGCGTATGCTCTGACTGTTTGCGTGATGACAGGAGATACTTCGTTTTGTCCTCGTTCACCACCAGACCCATTCGCTTTGCTTCTCTATCCAATCCCGAGAAGGCAGAACAGACGTAGCCCTTGTTTTTACCGATAATATCGATGTCGTCGGCATACGCCAGCATTGTACGCTCTTATAAAGTATTGTGCCTGAGCGGTTCAGTTCTGCGGCTCTTATTATCTTCTCCAACATCAAATTAAAGAAATCACACGAAAGGGAGTCCCCTTGTCTGAAACCTCGTGTGGTATCAAACGGCTCGGAGACGGCCTTCCCGATTCTGGCGGAGATGGTGGTATTGCTCGACGTCATTTTACACAGCCGTATTAGTTGGCAAACCTCCGAGTGTATTTCTGCCATGAAAAACAGCTTCTCAGAAAAATACAGTCGCCGTTCCGCTTTGTGTGACAACATCAAGGCGCATACCACAAGTCGGAGGAGAAGCTCGGCCAAACACTAACATATGTGTAAGCGCCAATCTATTATTATTATTATTAGTTTCACGGGGATACCAAATTCAGACATCGCGACATAAAGGCAACTTCTCTTCGTGCTATCGAAAGCGGCTTTTAAATCGACAAATAGATGGTGTGTGTCGATCCTGTTCTCGCGGGTCTTTTCCAAGATTTGGCGTATTGTGAATACCTGATCTGTGGTGGATTTTCCAGGCCTAAAGCCACACTAATAAGGTCCAATCAGCTCGTTGACGGTGGGTTTCAGTCTTTCGCACAATACGCTCGATAAGACCTTATAACCTATGCTTAGAAGGCTGATTCCGCGGTAGTTTTGGCGCGCATGGCGGCGTCGCCTTTCTTGTGGATTTGGCAGAGCACACTTAAATTCCAGTCGTCGGGCATGCGTTCATCTGACCATATTCTGCATATGAGCTGATGCATGCACCTCATCAGCTCCTCGCCGCCGTACTTGAATAGCTCGGCTTTCAGCGCTGCTGCCATTCAGTAGGTTGTAAAAGTGTTCCCTCTACAATTTAAGTATATTCTGGACATCGGTCACTAGGTCGCCATTGTTTCTTACAAGAGTTCGCCCCGGTCTTGAAACCTTCCGTAAGTCGCCTAACCCTCTGATAGAATTTTCGGGCGTTCTTCCTGTCGGCCAGCATCTCAAGCTCTTCGCACTCACGTATTTCGGCCTCTCTCTTCTTATTCCGGCAAATACGTCTCGCTTGCTTCTTCGTTTCCCTATAATGGTCCCACATGGCTTGCGTTGCGCCCGATCGCAGCGTGGCAGGTGGCATCTTTTTCTCTGCGGCTTATTGACATTCCTCATCATACCAGTTGTTCTTTCGGGCTCGCTGAAATCCAACTACTTCCTCGGCGGCGGTATTTAATATCGGCAAATGTGGTTCCACTGCTCGCGTATGTCGGATTGTTGAAGAGTGCTCTCAGGGAGCAGGTGTGTGAGTCGAGTGGCGTATAAATTTGCCGTCGGTTGTGATTGCAGATTTTTGACCTTAAGCTTTCCTTGCATTGTTGGGTGCACGTTTTTGCTGCACCCGCGTATCTTGGCTACAACAAGATAGTGGTCCGAGTCGATGTTTGGAGTGTACGTACGTCTAAAACGCTTGAAGCATGCCTTCCACAACATGATCTATTTGGTTTCTCGTTTTTCGATCTGGAGGCAGCCATGTACCTTGGTGAATGTCCTTATGCTGGAACCTAGTAATACATATTACCATGTTTCGGGCCCGGCGAAGTCGATCAACCTCAGTCCGTTATCGGACGTTTCGTCGTGGAGACTGAATTTTCCGACAGTGGCGCCAAAGATCCCTTCCTTGCCTACCTTGGCATTAAAATCGCCAAGCATGATTTTGACATCGTGTCGGGGGCAGCGCTCATATGTACGTTCCAAGCGCTCATAGAAGAGATCCTTGGACGCCTCATCCTTCTCTTCCGTCGGGGCAGAATCTATCTTTGATGCGGATTGTGGCTAGACGTTCGTCCACCGGAGTGAACGCCAGTACTCGGCGACGGAGTCTCTCTCCTACCACGAATCCAACACCGAATTTGCGCTCCTTTACGTGGCAACTGTAGTAGACGTCTCAAGGCTTCACGCTTACTTTTCCTTGCCCAGTCCATCGCATTTCTTGGACGGCGGTGATGTCAGCCTTTGTCTTCCCGAGGACATCCACCAGCCAGGCAGAGGCACCTTCCCCATTAAGGTTCCGGATATTCCAGGTGCATACCCTTAAATGATAGTCCTTTATACGTTTGCCGTGGTCTTCGTCATAAAATGGGGGTCTCATCCGAGGCTGTTTTTTTCTTTTCATTGGGCGGGGTTTTAATATGGCGGGACCCAAACCCAGCGCACGCGAAGTTTTACGCCTTCTCACTTTAGCTCGCTCCCAAACGGGTGTTTGGTTGCCACCCAGAGGGGTGTTTGGTTGCCACCCAGAGGATGCGTGGATATAAATATCCGGACGTTGTGAGCTGCGATTTGAACCGTACGCACAAGAATCGCTTCTAGCCACTCCCAGGTGAATGGCAGTCAAAAGTTTTCCATTTCTGCTCACGGAACCATCCGAAATTACGATTACTGTAATCATATTCTAAGATGCCTTCGATGAACGATTACCGCAATCCGAATTTAATAATTTTTAAAATTGGGATTAAAGTAATCGTAATCCTAGATGCAACTGATTACACATGTAATCCTTATCGCCCAGCTCTGGTAAATACCTGGCTGTCAAACTATCGATACTATCGATGGTTTTACTTTTTTCAATTATCGATTGATAGTCGGACTATCGACTAGCGTTGTATTTTTTCACCGCAAAGTTCTTGGAATTAGAAATTTTCAGAAAGTTAATTTTATTAGTTCTTGAAAAGCGGTGTCATGCTTCCGCAGGTATGGATTTTGAAAGTAAGTAATAATTCCCAATGACACCAGTGATATTTGGAGCTCTAGACTAGATATTTAAATCTCCGTTGAAAATAATATATAAAAATATAAAATGGGGCACCAAGCTAAATTCGAGTGCTTCTGTTAGGCCACAAAATATGCTACCACTTAAAAAATACAATTATCATCTATGTCCGACGATTTTGTATACCACTGTGTCACAGTTTAAGTTTTTTCTTTCTTCGGCTTATGCCGACGTGTTCGTGAAAGGGTTAAAATTAATATCCACATGAAGTTTAAAAATTAAAACCTGTAAAACTTAATAAAAAACAACGATCTAAATTAGAATTGTTTTAAAGAAATTTATATAATAAATGAAAATATAAAAAAAAATTTTCTATTATATTAAATATATGTTAAAAGTAGTTTAGCCAGTATAGGCTTAGATGGATCAGTGTGGATTTCGATACGATCGACGACGATAATTTAAACTACCATCGACCATCGATAGTTTGACAGCTCTAAGGTATAAAGTCACACCGGTCAATCATTTCGTTAACGGTGGTCTTCAATTTTTCAAACAATACGCTCGATAAGACCTTGCTAAAACCTATTCTTGGAAGGTGGTTTCCGCGGTAGTTGCCGCGTATGGGGGCCCCCTTTCTTGTATTGGGCAGAGAATACTTAAATTTCAGTCGTCGGGGATGCGTTCATCTGACCCTGGTGTGCATAAAAGTTGATCCATGCACCTTATCAGATCCTGCCGCCGTACTCAAATAGCTCAGCTGGCTGGCTGTCAGCTCCAGCAGCTTTGTTGTTTTTCAGCCCCGAAATTCCTATTCGGACCTCGTCATAGTAACTCTCAGAAAAAATGCCCGAATATTCCCTGTCTGCCAGAACTTCAAGATCTTCGACCTCACGTATTTCGGCCTCTCTCTTATTGCTGCCCTCTACAGCTCCCTATACCAATAACGCACACCGCCCGATCTCAGCATGG